CCGCAATCGTCTCGCCACCCTGTCCTGAACATCCGGAACTTCTACATCCCGCAGCCTCTGCATGACATCCACACACACATATATGTGTTGACCATTTTTCCACCCTTTTGTCTCAGTCCTCTCTTGTGTATGGTGAAAACAGTTGCAGTTTTTCAAGCTTGTTGTATCCTGTTGTACAGGTTGCAAAGTAGGCCACCTAGAACCTCGGCTGTGTTTAACTACGGCTGGGTGGATGCCGTCTGGTCCGGCGGCGTAAGGTTCACCAAGAGTCCTGCTAACCTGTTCCAATCCCACCTGTAATTCGGGTGTACCCGGTACATCCGTGTGGAGGTTAGGTTATGTAGTAATGAGTTGATCCATCATAAGTACGCTTTTAAAATGGTCCCCAAATCGCACTCCTTTGACGAGCAGTGTTTGAAGCCAAGGAGACTAGCTGACAACACAACGATCTGGACGCACGATTGGTCTTGGCCACTACTGTCCTGTGCAAACTGAACTGAACTATATCCAGCTCATGGGTTACTAGTTCTTCATCCTCCAATATCAGAGGCCCTACCATTTCATTGAGCCCTTCCTCAGAGTAAACATAGAGGTAGTAACTTTTTGGCTGATATTTGGCACAATTAACCAGCTTGAGCTGGTATTGTCGTTTGAGCTCTCGCTAAACTGCCACTGCTTTGAACCTATCCCCATTGTACTGGGCCCACGATCTGTGGTTGCTCGTTGACCTATAGATGTGCCAGCTCCCGGCTGCGGTGCGGGTCACGGCCCCCTGAAAGACTCAGGAGCTTCCTCCTATCCTGGCAGTGCTACTATTGGTGAATAACTCAGTTACCTAATTGTATGCTTTATCGTAGAATCCTGCATCGTTATAATGATCTGAAAACCGACGAATCAAACACTTCGAAAAAATTAGACGAAACCTGTACTTCATTATCTACTTCCACTCTTGTTATGAACTCGTACAGGTGACCGTAGGTTAGCTAAGTGCAACGTAATTTTTGGAAACCATGCCGATCTTTACTTAGAAATGCGTTCTCTTGGAGGTGGCTTCAGATATAGGTTTTACTCAGACTTTGATATTTTTACATATTGAGCTAATCGCGGTAATTGGTTTATCGTGTTATCACAATAATGGCATAATTAACGATGTTTCGTGAGGCATGCTGGGGTTCATAGAATATTGTACAATATGCATTAGTACATCGAGATTTACGAAGCTGAGGAGGATAAAATATTGAAAAGTAGACGAGTGGTAAACAAAATGGACCTAGTACGGATGTGGATAGTTGGGCACTTCGGAAATCGACGTTAAAGATAACGGAGTGAAATTGCTCATGTCTTCAAGTTTGCATTTCTCTAAGCACAAAAAAGGAAGAAAGATTCTCTGTAAAATACTAAATGTTCAAGATTTCAATGGGCCGGGTCATTATTAATATTAACAATAATAATCATCGGTATATCTCACACCAATAGGGTTTGAGGCATGCTTAGGTGCCTGATCAATGGTACATAATTCAGTATGGATAACGATAGATTTACATTGATGCTGGAAAATAGAAATGCAGTCGCTGGGTGTGCAAACGCCGTAAAGGGAACACAAACGAAACAGAGTCCACTTGCAGGTAATTCTGGACCTAATGAGAGCAGAGGGTAATTAGTTTACCGGTGTTGAAAATAATACATTAGGTTTTGATAAGTTCGAGGAGTGAATAATATTAGGTAAAGTCTGCAACAAAATGTAGAGAGGGATTCATCGTAGCAAAGCTGCTTGTCATTGGATGAAGATGGAAGACACCCCGTCACCACTGCATGCATATGAGATCAAGAGCGGTATCATATGCTGTTGCAAAGCGGTCAGTACTTCGCAAATACGGGGTTGACGATTGACTAGGACCGAATGCAGGAAAATCGTAGCATGGTGTCTCCTGAAGGACATATTTCAAACGTAAAGTTCAACTAGTTTTACTAAAATACAATAATGAGTTCCTTTTTTGATAAAATAGCTTTCTCTCTAGCACTCTCTATTACAAGTCCAGGACGTAAAAAAGCATCTGAACCAGCGCTTCCCAAAGACCTTTTTGAAAAAGCTTCTCATCCAAACACTCGAGCAATTAGATTTTGCTTATATCACATTATCGGATCTTTCCTGCTTGCTCCCACTCCACACACTCAGANGTGTCCGTAATGCATACCGGAATTCTGAAATAAGTTCTTTTTTGGACGCACAATGAATCCCAGCACAGATTGTACTCACTTCTCAACAAAGAAACAGTAGTAAAAGGCATATGTTCAACTCAGTAGTTTAACCCTAACAGTATAAGAGAATAGAGCACAAAAACATGCCTTGAGATATCAGATATTCGAAGCACTGTTTAAGAACCTGATAAATATACCAGTGGTCAAAGGAAGAGCGCCTGCCTGAAGCACGGAATGTTTTCTCAACCACAAGGACACACCAATATCATTCGCAGACCTATTGTACCAGATCCAGTTGCATTTACGAGTTCCACCCATAGTCGTTGGGTAAAATCGCACATACATCACCGGATGACCACAAAACGTCTAGTGTGGTTTAGAAAAGCATTTCAAATACAAATCACAGTAATGACATCACCTTCCAAAGATAGAAACCTTAATGTAGTGATTACGCAAGCTCTATGGGAGACTGACCATCCCTCAGGCTTTATGGTCATACACAATCCCCAGTTCATCGAGTCAACCACAAACTCGAAACAGGAAGATAGCACAGGCCCCCTATATTACTGTGATTTTATAAGACACCGCCTGTACCAACGCAGGTGTCTAGGCCTTGATTGTTCACTATCCCTGTGCCGAACATCATAAACAGCGAGGGTAACTCCCTGATAGTCGATAAGGTCTATCAGCCTCATATCTTGTTTCGTGATTGTGGATGCATGCAATTTGGCTCTTTTGGCTTAATTATGATTTATTCGGTGTGTAAAAAGAATCACCTGGCCGATGTACAACGGCAAATAAATGAATCTGGATACATTGTACGAAATAATATTTTGCCATCCTCATTACAAGTATTCAATGCATTTATGTACAAACAACAGTGTCAGTTATAACAGGTGAAAGGAGAGTCACTCGTGCAATCGCAGATAAAGCTCAGACACGAACCAAGTAATGTGCGTCTCTTGTTCAGAACTGGCCAACCTGAAATAATGAAAAAAAACTGAGGAATAACAGTGTCTCCTAAGGAAGATGGAATAAGGTATAACTGTACTCGATATAAAAAGTGAATTAACTAGCGATGTATATGTAACTAGTCACGTGATCTAGTCAGAGGCTTAATAAGGACTAGTGACAGACAGAAAGTTTTGCTAAGAAATTACTTCTTACTACGACAAGATATATCAGATAGATTGCTTGATAAACCAACCGGAAAAAGAGATGTGCAGATCCTCGGTAACAGACGAAAACCTGTCAATATTTTCTAACGATGAACACCTCTATCTGTTTCATGTCATATTCACTTAACGAGTATCATGCATCGCAACTATCGTAAGACTACCGATACACTACAACACAGCCATAATAAAATAAGCTTTCAACTCTTTAAATTTCAAAACAGTTGCAACAACAAAGGTGTTTTGTATAGCAATGTTGATGTGGGAAATCTACGCAAAAATCGTCAAACGAGAAAGTTGAAAATTTTATTACGTTTGTTAATAGACAATTTAACCCTAAAAGAACAAACCGGTCAATGGAGTGGAAGATGATCGTCCTAAGCAGGAACAATGTAGGCGTTCAGTGAATGAAATGCATTTCAAAACGGTTCAACATCTTTTGGAAACAGTCTAAGACGGAATAAAGAGGCCGGTTAAAAACAGAAGTAACAATGACTTTGTGTCGGGAGATATCTGGCGACCACATTCAAAGAGATCGAACTACCAGGCCGAAGAGATTATTACTCAACACCTGCATACGATACACTGGAAAATAGGTTGCGCAACAGGAAACCTCGCGCGCTTTGCATACGACGAAATTGAACAAATTGGCCAGTTCAGAAACGCAGTTTCAGAGTTCTCAAAAAGGTGCACGATTATAGCCAGCAAGTTTGTTCCCCAGATCACCAAATTTCCACCTAAACGGAGTTTCATTTTGGAATGTTAGTGACCCGAGGAGATGGTACCGTTAAAGTTCAGCGCGACATCAAATGAATAAACAATTTCGACCAATTAGTTTCCCAATCAGAACTCAAACAGTTTGAGAGATTAGTAGAATGACTTACATAACGCTCTTGGTGCACCCGATCAAAACGCCTTAGGTTCGAATCCCTCAGAGATTAGATTATTCGATCATATCCAGCAGGGTATGCAATGCCCTTCAGTTATCGTTCCCCTAAACCATTATTCGATGAGTCTGATACCACCAACTAACGTGACAGAAAGTCTCACAGGGAAAGTTGCTTTTTGGAAGCATACGTAACATAACTAACTGCAATGCTAAGATGCACCAGGTTTTTTGAATAACTGATAGATGATCACAACAATAAGGGGTAATAAATTTTTAAATCATCAAAACAGGCAATAAACAGAAATATGTATCCAAATGGAAAATGGGCGGTGGAGATAGAGTGGCGGGATAATCGAAATAATTACCCTGGGTTCCTGAGTTCGGAACCACCCATCGTCGCTCATTTTCGTATTATCTGTATTCCCCATGCAATCTTTGCATGGCTGCAGCCTCTTTCTGTACAATTATACAATCAATAAAGAGGCAAAAAACATTAAGAATACAGAAAGTGTAGAAATTTTGGTTAACAGAAGGATCAGAACATGTTGGTCGTCACCGCGCAGTTAAACAATTAGGGTTTGGCTCTACACTCGATTCTCGAAAAGGACAAGAAAAATGTGCATTGATGATGAGTCTAGACAAATAAGAGACCTAGTTAAATGCATCTGGTCGACTG